GGGGCATAGATAGGATGAATGCATATAGTCATTTTCCCAAGGATGGGGAATTGAAAACTAGAGGGCATAGGTTTAAGGTGAGAGGGGAAAGATTTAAGAAGGGCCTGAGGGGCAACTTCTTCACGCAGAGAGTGGTGTGTATATGGAACGGGCTGAAGAGAAAGTGGTTGAGGCAGGTACAATAGCAACATTTAAAAAAACATTTGGATAAGTACATAGATGGGAAGAGTTTAGAGGGACATGGACCAAATGTGGGCAATTGGAACTAGCTGAGCGGGCGGCATGGTCAGCACGGACCAGCTTGGGCCAAAGGGCCTGTTTCCATGCTGTATTACTTTATGACTCTATTAGCCAAAGTGCAACAAAACAGACGTATGGGTTACCAAGCCATAGGAACCAAACACCAGTTCTCCAGGGAACAACAGAATCACACAGAGCACAAATTTAGCAACATCTGCAATACTGGCATAATTCGGACCACTGTACTACACTGCAGGCATGATCAAACATTCAGAAGTTTTTCAAAGAAATTGTGAACTCCAAATCTTCTGACTTTGGAAAGGGTGCAGAAAAGGTTAGGTATGTAAACTAAAATTAAGAAAGATAAGAATGGGTGCACTGGAGAGAATTGAGTTCACGAAAGATCACAAAGGTCAAAAGATAAATCTTAATCAATTATTCAACATAACCACAAACTCTGTAAACGAGACACAATCAAGCTCAGAAATGGCTGGGTGAACATAGTTGAGATTTAATTACTGCATACAGATAGCAGTGAATACTTGGAATAGACCGGCAGAAGGACAGCAGAGTTGGATAGTGTTCGCAGATTTACGACAAAGGTTTACAAAATTTATGACATTTGGAGAAATTATTGATTGAGGGATATGAAAGATTGAGTATACCATGCATCAAACACAAAGACCCTGATATTCTTATGTAATAAAGATGTATAAATAATATGCCTATTTCTGTTATCTTACATAAGTAAATTACAATTGGGAACAAAATGATGCAGCAGATTTTATCACACAAGCAAGTTTCATGACAAAAAAGGACTTAAATCAGAAATGACAAATGTATAAGAATGGTGTGTACAAAATTCAGAGCAGCAAGTTGAATACAGTACATTTCTTGTTGGACCAAAATATGAATAGATGCCTTATTTCATTTTAGAATGATTTATATTCTCTGTCTATCCCTCAGTACTTATTTTATAATATCTAACTGTTTTCTAAGAAATAGCATTTACAATTTATTTTCCTGGTGAAAGCCCAAAATGCTGAAAAGTCTTGATTTTATGTATTAAATAGCGAAATTTAGAAAATGTATATTCTAAATCTTGCAGCATTTTATTTTGTCATTTCAAGCAAATCCCACTGACGTATTGATCTTTTACATTCCTGACTAATCACCACCCCTTGACATTCCATGGTGTTACCATCAATTGAATCCCCCACTATCAATAACCTTGAGGTTACCAATGACCAGAAACTTGAATGGACTTGTAACATAAAGACAGTGACTTCAAGAGCAGGTCAGAGGCTAGGAATGTTGCAGCGAGTAACTCACCTCCTGACTCCCCAAAGCCTGACCACCATCTATAAGTCAGGAGTGTGATGGAATATTCCCCACTTGCCTGGATGAGTGCAGCCCCAACAACACTCAAGAAGCTTGACACCATCCATGACAAAGCAGCCCGCTTGATTGGCACCACATCCACACGCATCCACTCCCTCCACCACTGACACTCAGTGGCAGCAGTGTGTTCTACCTACAAGATGCACCTAAGACAGCACCTTCCAAACCTACTCAGAGATAGCAAGAACTGCTGATGCTGGAAGTCAGAGACAACACAGTATGGAACTGGAGGAACACAGCAGGCCAGGCAGCATCAGAGGAGCAGGAAAGTTGACATTTCGGGTCAGGATCCTTCTTCTGATGCTGCCTGGCCTGCTATGTTCCTCCAGCTCCATACTGTGTCACCTTCTAAACCTACAACCACTTTCATCTAGAAGGACAACATCAGCAGATATATGGGAACACCACCATCGGCAAGTTCCCCTCCAAGTCACCCACTATCCTGACTTGGAAATATATCGCCGTTCCTTCACTGTCGCTGGGTCAAAATCCTGGAATTCCCTCCCTCAGGACACTGTGAGTTATTCTACAGCATTTAGACTGTAGCGGTTTAAGAAGGCAGCTCACTAACACCTTCTCAAGGACAACTGGGGCAGACAATAAATGATGGCCAGCCAGCGATGCCCAAATTCCACGTGCCAGTAAAAACAAATTACCCTAACAAAGACAGTTTAATAGACAAAGGAAAATGAAAATAATAGCATCAGCATACTACAAGGAACTGAGAAAGCACTTCGTTAGGGATTGAGGGCTACAAATAAATTGACCTGTGTAATCTGAATTCAAATATCATTAATATTAGTCTAAATATTAGTGCCACTTCTTCCACACAGCAATCAGTCTCAACATTGAAAAGTATTTTACATATATTCATTGTAGATTGTTTCAGGATAATGCCAGTTATTTTGGGGCTTCATTTTCTTGGAAGGACAGAGAAAACTGAAGTTGTTCTCCTTAAAGTGGAGAACTTGAAGGGAAGGTTTACTGGAGGTGTTCAAAATTGCGAAGCATTTTAGGATGTAAGTATGAAAAAACTTTGTAGTAGCAGAAGCATTGTTAAGCAAAGGATGTAGATTCATGGTAATTGGCAAATCTCCATGACCATTTCTGTTAGTGAAAAAGGTGCAATGAATGGGCAAATTCTTTTTGCCTACACTCAGGGCTTTATAACAAAATTCATGATAAAAGATTGGAAAGCGAAGATCCTCTTTAGGTGATGACTAATAAATCTTGGACTCTTTATGACTTAATACAGAATCTTATGGAGTTTTTACAGCACAGAAAAACACCCTTCAGCACTTTATGTCAGCATTTTTCCAGTGTCTATCTATTCTAATCCCATTTCCCAGCACTGTAGTCTAGTTTCAAACGTTCATCTGAATACTTCTGAAATGTCTCGAGGATTCCAGTCAATACCATTTTTAGGCAATGAATTCCAAATAAGTACCACTGTCTGGGTGAAAGAAAATTCCGCAAATCTCATTTAAACATTCTGCTCTGTACCTTAAAACTATGTCCCTGGTTATTGATCCCTCTACTAAGGGAAAAGGTTTCTCCTTATGTAGCCTATGACCCTCAGAATATAGTACACATCAATAGTCCCTGCTCAACCTTCTCTGCTCTAAGGGAAATAACCCCGGACTATCTACAAAACAGATGGGGAATATATTTACCCTTTAAGGTTGATAAGAATACCTTTTGTTCATATTATTATTACTTTTATGCATTGTTTACCTTCAGAATCACTGCCACACTGGCAAACACACAACCACACATCAAAGTATAAATAAAGCATTATGCTATTGGATTGACGACCGAGAGATAGACTCATTCTTGACAATGAACAATGCCCTAACGTTATCAGGAACAACAATACCTGATAAACTGAAGCAGTCAAAATTCATGTGCAACAAGATTCGGATAATATCCAGGTTTGGGCAAGTGACAAGTGGCAAGTGACTTTCATGCCACAAAAGGGCCAGGCAATGACCATCTCCTACAAGGGAGAATCTAACCATTGCCCCTTGATCCTCAGTGGCAATGTCATAACTGAATCCCTGACTATCATCATCCTGGGGATTAACATCCAGCAAACTGGATTAGTCATGTAAATACAGTCGCAATAACAGCAGGTCAGAGGTGAGGAATACTGCAGCAAGTAACTCATCTTCTGACTACCCAAAGTCTGCTCACCATCTAAAAGGCACAAGTCAGCAGTGCGATAGGATTCTCTCCATTTGCCTCAATGAGTGCAACTCTAACAACCCTCAAGAAGCTTGACATCATGGCGGACAAAGCAGCATGCTTGATTAACACCACATGCACAAATATCCACTCTTTTCACCACCGACACTCAGTAGCAGCAGTATGTACCATCTACAAGATGCACTGCAGTAATTCATCAAGGCTGCTTAAAAGAATCTTCCAAACCCATGACCAATACCATCTACAAGGACAAGGGCAGCTGATACATGAGAACACAACTCCTGCAAGTTCCCCTCCAGTCACTCACCCCTCTGACTTGGAAAGATATCACTGTTCCTTCTGTGATAACACAGTGATGGAAAATTTCTGAAGAAGTATCCCGACCCGAAATGTCAGTTTTCCTGCTCCTCTGATGCTGCCTGGCCTGCTATGTTCCTCCAGCTCCACACTGTGTTATCTCTGACTCCACCATCGGCAGTTCTTACTATCACTGTTCCTTCCGTGTCACTCGGTCAAAATATGGGAACTCCCTCCCTAATGGTATTCATAGATCATTGAATCCCTACAGTGTGGAAACAGGCCCTTCGGTCCAACAAGTCCACATTGACCCTCAGAGCATTCTACCCAGACCCATCCCCCTATAACCCACCTAATCTACAAATCCATGAACACTATGGGCAATTTGGTATGGCCAATCCACCTCGCTTGCACATCTTTCGACTGTGGGAGGAAACCAGAGCATCCGGAGGAAACCCACACAGACACCGAGAAAATGTGCAAACTCCACACAGACAATCACCCGAGGGTGGAATCGAACCCAGGTCCCTGGCGCTGTGAGGCTGCCGCGCTAACCACTGAGCTACCTATAGCAAATGGACTATAGTGGTTCAAGAAAGCAGCTCATCAGCATCCTCTCAAGGCAAACGACAAATGGGCAATAAATACTGGCCCCACCGGTGATGCCCACATCCCATGAATAAAAAGAATATATCAGAGAACTGCAATATATTCACCTGAAAGTCCACTCCACGGTCTTTCAACAAAAGAATTAATTTAAAATAAATTCTTACCACAACAATAGCAGCAAGCTCAATTTCAGACATACATACTAAGCACTGTACGTGAACCGACTAACACACAAAATAAAAAGTTACCTTTTGTGCCTTCGCCCAAAACACATCCTCTAAATAAGTGGCAAAACCTTCACTTATCCACTCTTCAGTCCAATCACGAGCACCAATGGCCAATCCAAACCAGGCATGAGCTATTTCATGGCACAGTCGTATTCCACAGAGATTATTTTTTCCAGACAATACAGACTGTGATAGGTAGATGATGTGTGGACTAATAAAAGAAGATTTTTAAAATGTTACTAACAGCATGTTACACAATCTTGAACTCTTCATTATATATAAAATGTACTATCCTTTCCTATGAAATATTCATGTTTTACTTCATAACATGGTCATGACTTACCCTCATCACCTAAGGACTGCATCAACTAAAGTTGTATCTCAAGATAGGTCTTTAATAAACTGAATTGGATAAGGGAAGGGTTGTCTGCTTTTCATTATTTTTATCAAAACAATAAAGTCGTTCCATTTGCATGTTCACCATTTGCAAATTTGTTTATTTGCGCAATACTTTCTATATACCTTTTTGCCAAATGTGAATCTAATCTTCACTTAGCTGGAGTTTTCCAGAAAACGTATATTCTATCATTTGTAAAAATCACAGATTGTGACATTCTCCAGGAATACATCTTCACAAACGGTTAGACATGATTGTATATAAAAGATCCTGTCCTCATCAACTGATGTTCATCCCTTCCCCAGTCTATCACTTCATGCAGAATATGCATTGAAACCTCATGATGTTTAGTTGGCATAAGGTATCCAATAAATCTCCTGCTCAGCAGTCACTTAAACGTAGAAAACCAAATTAAATCTGTTCCTATGCGACTATTAATGAGGATTGGTACATTTGTTAGTTTCGCGAACAGCAAGTTAATTGTCAATTACAGCAAATCACACAACAGACTACATTACACTTCCTTCAACTGCATCACCAAATTCATGTTTGGATGAAAGATTAGACTATTTCTTTCAACCAAGAGAATACCAGACCTGCTGCATACTTCCAACATTTTCTGTTTTTATTTTAGAATCCTAGCATCCACAGTATTTTGTTTGTGCATCACAGATTTCATACACATATTGGATTAGCCTTGATTACATCCTACATTTGCACAATGACTTTAAGAATGTAAAGCTAACAGCGTAGAATGATAACATGATCATTTTAAACTAGCTTTTGATTTAAAATAGAACAGTTTTAGTCAGCCTAATATATATGTGCAAACCATATATACATACCTTAACATAACTTTTAATGGATTCATTCAAGCTTTCTTTGTTCACTTTTACCTTGTGCAATAGGTACTAAGAAATGCAGTTCAGTTACCATTGACCAGAAACGCAACTGGACTAGCTACATAAATACAATGGATACAGCAGTAGGTCAGAGGCTAGGAATACTGCAGTGAGTACTCATCTCCTGACTCTCCAAAGCCTGTCTACCATCTACAAGGCACAAGTCAGGAGCATGATGGAATACTCCCCACTTTCCCGAATAAGTGCAGCTCCAACAACACTCAAGAAGATCGACACCAACCAGATGAATCAGCCACATGATTGACACCGCATTCACAGACATTCAGTAATTGTTTCCACCACTTACAGTCAGTAGCAGCAGTGTGTACCATCTAAAAGATGCAGTGCAGAAATCGAGCAAGGCTCCTTAGACAGCATCTTCCATCTAGCAGGACAGATATATGGGGACACCAGCACCTGCAAATTTCCCTCAAACCATTCACAATTTTGATTTGGAAATATGTCACCAATCCTTCAGTATCACTGGTTCAAAATCCTGGAACACTTTCTTTAAAAGCTTTGTGGGTCTACCTACAGCACACGGACTATGGCAGTTCAAGAAGACAGCTCACCGCTACCTTCTCTAGGGCAACTCGCAATACCGACATCCCATAACAGAATTCCAAAACTGTGATGAGTCTAATTAAATTAGAAATCTAGGCATACTGCACTTTATTCTGACAACACAAGGATGTTATGAACTCCACGGAGATCAAAATATTTAAAGCTAAATTTGAACTTCCAGTTAACAGTTGAAACAGTGGCAAGAAAGGATTTCACATTTTACAACTTTTATTGCTATAAATGACTAAAAAACATAACTGAACACATTTTTTTGTAGGCAATTGCACTTTAAACAATAGAGAAGAGATTCCACATTTAACTTATAGCATTACCAGAAAACTCAGTACTACAGTTATACATAGTTGGCTGTGAAGTGGACATTTCACCATACAGGAACCAATCAAGAATTATTCTTATCTCCTGATGAAATGCTTCTTTTTGACTTGGCCTTTTGGGTTACTTCTAATAGAACTGCCTTTCACTGTGAGGGTTACATTGTAGGTCCCTGCTTCGTGCTGAAAGCTAGGCAAATCTTCCAGCTTCCTTTATGTCCATATGAACTTGGTCTTTAAGACAAGTATGAACTCACACCCGCATTCTGCATGGTGAATTATAAGCGGCAGCATCTTCTTTGTTTAAGGTGCAGGCTTGGCTGCTTCTGTCTCTTGTTCTCTACCTTCCAGATGGCTGCAGACAAAGACAAACTGTTGTCTGTAATATCACTGTGCTTATCGGGAAACCTTTACCTCAACCATAAAAAAAACTGGCTTCCTTATTTTCTTTCCCTTGTAAACATATTAATACTTCTAACTGGAAACAAAACAAATTTGATCTGAACTCCCTTTCATTTTAGAAGTAAATAGAGAGTTTGTGGCACCACTGCTTACAACGCAATGTCTATAATACCTTTCTAGGATTTTAGGAGATTCGACATCTATTCATGGTATGCTCAGAGACTGTGCCCATTGTCTTCAAGAGTAAACATGCTGCACTTCTTCAAAGTAAAATAATCCCAAATCTTCCTTAATTTCCAACAATCAAATGAGCTGATTTTACTGCCATGAAGACTTCAGAACAGGTCATATGATTCATTTACCGTCAAGTTGAAGCTAAACTACTAAATGTAATAACCTTACAAATCAAAGGGTACAATCCTAAAACATAATCTTGTAAACCACATAATTATAACAAGGAGATCACCAAGGATGAAGATTACAACACATTTCTTTTTTCTAAATTTCATTATTCTGGATTTTAACAAAAATTCTAGTTGTAAGTGATACTTCAAATGCAAAGCTTTCTACACAAAGTAAATGATCAGACACATTCTTGATCATTTAAAAACAACACCTATTGATTTTTATTTTAAATGCAAGAGTCACTAGAAACTTTTAAGGACATTAAAGATTTGGGAATAATTTCAGTGCACAAGGATTATTCTCTTCAGAAATGGAACAGCCTATATTTCACTCAAAGTACTTGTCATGAGAATTTCACAGTGAAATTATTATTAAAAGGCAAATATTACAGGCAACATATGAAGTATATAAATGTTTCATCTTGAAAACACTTCAGCGAGCAGTTGCATTGATTAATCATTAAGCATTGATTCTAATAGAAAAATCAATTTAGCAACAACCATCCCTTCTGCAGATTTTTTGATTAGATAGTCTTTCAATTCTTTGCAAAAAGTTAAATGAAGCATATTCCAAGTAGTATTGGATAAATTAGGTATAGACTACAGGATTAGTAAGATTTTGGTAGTAAACAGTCATAACACAAAACTGTTCCATAAATTGCAAGAAAATATTTTCATTGTTCCTGTGTTTCATTAAACCAAAATATATGAAAAATGAGACTAAGTCACATAGCCTCTTAAACCTTCTTCCTCATTTAATAAAAACATAATGGAATTTCTAAATTAATTCCACCACATCCCTACATCCTCTGATTTTAGTGTCTTTATGGCCAAACATCTGCCTTCACTATACTCATTGATAGTCCACTGAATGAAAGAATTCCAAAGATCCCAATCATCTGAGCAAAGCTATTTCTCATCTCAGTCCAAAATCTCCAATCCCTTTATTCTGAGACAATTACCTTTAGATTTTAGAAACAGGTGCCCAGCATCTATCCTCTATGCATTCTGCGGTTGCCAATTAGACTACAACTAAACTTTTCATTCTACACTATTTCACGGAAAGATGATGGCTTACTGGTAACATCACTGTAGTACTGACACAGATTAACCTGCTTTAGGAATGGAGTCTAAATCCCACCATAGCAGCCAGTGGAATCTGAATTTAATTGTTAAGTGGTGGCCCATTTTAGACTGAGTTGAGAAGAAATGTCTTCACTACGAGGGTATTGAAGCTGGAATTCTCTGTCACAGAAGGTTGTGGAGGCAAAGTCACTGAATATAAACAAGAAGAAAAACATTTCTAAAGGCTACAGGTGTCAGAGGGTGGTAATATGGCATTGATAAACAGGATCAGGTACGATAATGGTGAATGGTGCAGCAGGCTCAAAAGCTGAACATCCTACACCTGCTACGCTCTAATTCAATGGCCCACTCACCTCAGAAATCAATGAAGCTTGGTTGCATCCCTTCTAAGGCAAGTGCATTCTTCCTTAGGTAAGGAGTACAAAACCAGTAAGACCATGCCAACTGCACAGTGTACAACATCTGATATAATTACCATAAGACCTCTTTATTGTTATATTTTAACCTCCCTTGCAATAGAGGCTAATATACTATGCATCTTCTGAATCGCTTGCTGTACCTACATGTCAACATACTGTGATTTATATACAAGGATTCCCTAAATCCTCTGCTACACAACATATGTTCGTTTCTAATCTTTTGACAAACATTATGCAAAATTGCTAATTTGACACATTCCTAAATTATACTCCATCTAACACAATCAAGGCCTGTCAATTATTCTGTCTATATTATTTGCAGCCTCATCACAGCCTCTTTGCACCTTACTTTTCCGCTTAGCATTGTATCATCAGCAAACTTGGATACAATAAACTAAGTGCTCCCTCATCTCAGTCACTGACACATTATAAGTCCAAGCTTGGATTCTTGCATTAGTCCAATGGTTACATGCTACTAACCTGAAAATGACCTCTTTTCTCACTGTTAACCAATTGCCAATTCATGCCAATCACTACTCCCATTACATCCAATCCCATAAACTCTAATTTTGAGTGACAACCACTTACGTGGAACTTTATGAAATGCCTTCTGAAAATCTGAATATATTACATTCATTGGTTCCACCAATTGACACAAACATCAGTTTGGTAAGGAATAGACACATTAGTATGTACATATACAGC